TTTGATTTGAGAATTTAATCCAGTTACATTTGAGGTGGTTATTGATAGGTAATTGTTAATTGCCATTTTTATTCTTTATGCATGTGGTCCTTGTTCCCTTTCTATTTCTTCTTTTTATAGCAGTCCCTTTAGCTATTCTTGCATTACTGGCTTGGTGGTAATAAAGTCCCTTAGTCCTTTTTTGGCTGTGAAGTTCCTGATTTCACCTTAAATTTTTATTGATAGCCTTGCTGGGTATAGTATTCTTGGATTCAGTCCCTTGCTTTGCATCACTTTGTATATTTCATTCCATTCCCTTATGGTCTGATGTCTTTCTGTTGAGAAATAAGTTGCTATTCTAATGGGAGATCCCTTGCTGGTAACTTTCTGTCTCTCTCTGGCAGCCTTTATAATTCTTACTTTGTTGTTGATGTTTGCCAGTTTAACTATGATGTGTCTTGGTGTTAGCCATTTTGGGTTCAACTTGTTTGGGTGTCTAGGTGCTTCTTGGACTTGTGTGGCTTTTTTCTTCCCAACATCCAGGAAGTTTTCTGTCATTATTTCTTCAAACAGGTTTTCTATTCCTTGCTCCACTTCCTCTTAATCTGGCAACCCTATTATGTGTATGGTGTTCGTTTCATGTTGTCTAAAAGCTGTCTTAGACTCTCCTCCTGCTTTTTAGGTTTTCTTTCCAGTTGCTGCTGTGTTTGTGTTTTTTTCTACCTCGTCTTCTAACTTACTGATGCAGTACTCCACTTCTTCTAGTCTACTGTTGAAGCCTTCCATTGTGTGCTTTCTTGCAGCTATGGCATTCTTCATTTCCTCTTGATTCCTTTTCATGTTGGTGACATTCTCATTCAGCTCCTTATAATTCTCATTGAGTTGTGTGTATTTGTCAGCCAGACATTTAAGCATCCTTAAAACCATTACTCTGCTTTTTTTCTCTGAGAAGTTACTTGTCTCCACTTCATATAATTCCTCCTCTGGTGATTTCTCTTTTTCTTTCCTTTGGAGATTGATTTTTTGTCTCCCCATTTTTTTCTGCAACGATTTAATTATTTCTATGTCTTAGATCCAACTGCTTTGCTACCCAGGTTCTTTTGAGGGTGGTGCTATGTAGTTGATGATTTTGGGGACCAAGTGGTGCAAAATCTCAAATTCCCTGGGCTTGGTGATCTAGTGTAGCTCCCTACTTGAGCTATTTGGGTTCTCTTGATGTACTTGGGTCTTGAATGTTGGTTTCTGGTTCATGGATGAAGTCTTGCCATGGATTGTCTGGCTATGTGACTCACTTCCGGCTTTATTGTTCAGGGTGTTGTGGATGTGATTGTGGTTCTGGCTCTTGTGAAAAGGGTTGCCTGAGGTCTCACTGGAATGTGTTCACTGTGAATTCCTGGAGTCCACAGCCTGGGAGGAAGGGGTCTCAGGGCCTGAGGCTCAGGTACTATGATTTTGGCCATTGTTGTGTGACTCTTGCTTGGGTAATCTCACTCTGCAACTCACTATGAGGATCTCAGAGGCCATGACGGTGGGTGGAAGCTGTCCTGTACTCTGCAGTAGAGGCAGTGGGACTCTGGCCAAGGTGATTTTCCTCTGTGAGTGACGAGGGGGTCAGGAGCCAGCAGCTGCGGATGTGGGAGTCTCATAGTCTGTGGTTGGAACAGTGTGGGGAATCCTCAGTAACTCACCCAGGTGTCGAAAAGCAGGCAGCCAGGAGGAGGAAGTCGTGGATCCTGCTGAGGGAACTTTGCACCCTTGGTTGGAGAGGCATGTGCCTAGTGGCAGATTATGGAGGGGCCCTGCATGCTGGATCAGCATGACCACTATGTTCAGAGGTCATTAGCCAGGGAGGGGGATGTGCCAGTTTTGTTGCAGTGTTGTGTGTCCTTAGTTGGATATGCGCACACCCAGTGGAGCTTTAAGGAGGCACCCTGAGGCTGCCTTCCAGGGCGGCAGACTCAGGGGAGCCCGCACTGGTTCTTTGCAATTGGGGTGTCTGGAGGTCAGCTGGCAGGGAGGGGGAAGTCCCACTTACTGCTGCAGGGGCCTTGTGCTCTTTGTTAGATATGCTTTTGCACCCAGTGGCAGCTTACAGAAGCACCTGGGGGCTGCCTGCTTGGGTGGCAGACTCGGAGGACCTGCCTACTGGATCACGGTGACCATGGTATCTATGGGCCATCAGCCGGGGAGGGTAAAGTCTGAGTTTTTGCTGTGGGAACCATGTGTCCTGGGAGGTGGATGTCCTAGGATCTGCAGGTCTGTGGGCAGGGCAGCAGGATTTTGGCAGTTGTGACTGCAAGGTCCCAGGTAGTGTCTAAGACCAATCTGGGTGATGGTGATGTTGAGTTCCTAGAGGAGGCCGCTCCCCCTTGAAGATGGCATAAGCTCTGTGCCTGAGCCTGGCAGCCTAGGGAGTGCCTACATCAATGCCAGGGGCTCCCTGTCCAAAAGAGCCTGGTCTGCTTGCTCCTGATACTCCTGCAGTGTCTGACTATCCCTCACTCACTCACACACATAGCACACATGTCCACATACCCCCTCACTCACTCGCACCCTCCCCCTCACCTCAGTCCTGCCAGCTGCCTTCTTCCCAAGTCTCTTGAGGTTTATTTTATACCCGAGCTACACCTGTGAACAGTAGGATCCTCTCAAAGGTTCCATTTCACTTGACATCTTTGAACCATCTTTGACTATGTTGGTCATGCCTCCTCCCTAACCTTGCTCATTCCCTGTTTTCCAGGGTCTAAGATACACTGACTTTCCCGTTCTCACTCTAGACATTTGCAGAGCTCTGCAGAGTGCTACAAAGTGGATTTATAGACATTGCTTTACAGGCGTTGCTGTTATTGTAATCCTTATTTTACAAATGAAGAAACTGAGGTACAGAAAGGTCAAATCACTTGACCAAGGTTCCACAGCTAGTGAGTGACAGAGGCAGGATTAGAACCTTGGCAGTCTGGGCCCATAATCAATGCTTTTAAGTTCTCCACTTTTTCCCAATTTCCTGTTCACCTATAACATGAATTTTTCTTGTTTGATATTTCACCACTTACGGTGGGTTACCAATAATGAGGCAAACTGTCGATAAAGACGGGTTAAGAACAGAATTTATTTAGCAGCATTGTTTTATATGTAGATTATTTGAGATGAATGTTAGGCACTTCACTCTGAAATTATTTGGTTCCATTTCCCCAAATCTGATTCACAAAATCTTCAGGAAGGGAACCCTTATGAAACACCTATTGCACGTGAGATTTTTGGCTGTTTTCTGCCATAGTATCTCACTGAATCCCCATACTAACCTGCATGGTTAGATTTGGTTATTCTTTCTTTACAGAAGAGGAAATGGGATGCGAAATTTAAGATCTCTCTGATGGTTCTTGTATCAGATAGATCCATGTTCAGATCTGGCTTTGGTGCTTACTAGCTTTGTGATCTTGGACAAGTTACTAAACCCACCAAATCCTATGTTTTCTCATGTGTAAATCAGAGTTCCTGCTATTACTTACCTCACAGGAACATTAGAGGATTAAATGAAATTATATCTGCAAAGTGCTTGGCACATGGTGGGTGCTCAGTCAGTGTTAGTGGTCACTGGTACTGCCCAGGCTGTAGCGTGTACGGGGCCACATGGGGAAGTTGAGGCTATGTGTCTGGATCTCTGAAGGCCATGTTCTTTTTATTATGTCTGGCTCAAGGCCTAGGATCCAATCATCACAAGTGAAGTTATTTTTAACATCTTTCCACAAGGATGCTATTTTAATCCAAGTTGTTACTGGAATTCATTCTAATTCCCTTCCTTCTTAGACTCCTTGTACCTGTCTAATAACTACCACAAAATGAGTTTTGGGGAGAAGAGTATCCTCCCACCCACACACAGACATGCCCATATACCATCCTAGTTACTGTCCCAGTAAAAGTGGCAAGAGACTGATTATAGCAGGGATGGGGGAGGTGCAGGACTTGCTGAATCAGTCTCTGGGCTGTGCTCTGATGACTTTGAGGATGACCTTGGTTTGGAACCCCTGGTAGAAGGGCAAGTGTGTGGGCTTTGGTTTCAGACAGACACTGATTTGAATCTTACCTCAGACATTTACAGTCTGCATGATCCTATTCGAGTTATCTAATTTTTACTAGCCTGAGTTTTTTTTAAGATTTTAATTTTATTTTTATTGATTTCAGAGAAGGAGGGAGGGAGAGAGAGAGATAGAAACATCAATGATGAGAGAGAATCCTTGAAGGGCTGCTTCTTGCACACCCCACAGTGGGGATTGAGCCAACAACCCGTGCATGTGCCCTTGACCAGAATCGAACCGGGACCCTTCAGTCCACAGGCCCATGCTCTATCCACTGAGCCAAACCAGCTAGGGCTAGCCTGAGTTTTATCATTTTATCAAAAATAGTGATGATGATAATAATAGTGTGTCTATCTCAAGGGTTGTCATGAGGATTAAATTAATTAAATATATGTAAAGTACTTAGTATAGTGTCTGACACTCAGTAAGCTATGATAATTATTATTATGTGCCTCCTCTGAGAAGTAATAATGGAATCTAAGTCATCTATGAAGCCTAAGATTGTGAGAGGCACAAGAAACAGCACATGGCATGATTCTTAGACAAGGTTGGCTTTAAGCACCAAAATATTCTTTACACTGGCCCAAACAGTATCCCCATGCTTGTGACCAAAGTCATATCTATTTCTTAACCTGGTGGTGATATATCAGTGTATCACAAAAACGGAAAATGGAATTTACATAACAGAATTTCACCATACAGTGATCTTGGCCAGAAAGTAATTACTCCATTACACAAGGGATACCTGTGCAGTGTTAATACATATCAATTCATATTTGAGCACTTTGAGAGTAGAGCTGCCCTTTTAATACTATGTTGTAACATCAAAGTTCTACAAACACTAGGATTGCACCCCACTCCCCACAATAGGAAAGTTTTGTTCGTTTGTTTTCATTTGAAACCTATTACCCTGGGATTACTTTATTTTATTTCTTTCCTTTTAAGTGTTAGACACCATCATGACCAAGAAGCTTGACCTCAATAATATGCCGCTCTCCGTGTTCCCATATTATACCTCCTTGGGCACAGCTCTGTATGGAAAGGAGAAGCCTCTGATCAAGCTTCCAGCACCATTTAAAGAATCTTTGGATCTTTCTTTGTGGAAGTTCTTACACAAAAGGAATCATCTGATTGAGGAGATAAATGAAGAAGTGAGACGTTCTCACTGTGAGCTAACATGGTCCCCACTCAATGGTGAAGTTACCATCAGCCCTGCAGCCACCTTAGTCAATCAAGGAAGAAAAAGAATCAAGAACTGGAAGAAAGATGCTTCCACAGCCTTCTTTGGCATCAGGTCTAGATTTAAAGTTAGCCCATTTAAAGTGGACCCAGTAGTGTGGGACATCATGAAAAATGACTTAGAAGATGAAAGAATTTTGATTGAGTTTGATACAGGTATGGGGATTGTAACCTTAGTGGGGAAATCAGAGGATGTACAAAACATTGAGCCACAAATCAAGGAATTAATAGAAAAGGCCACTCAAAAAATTAAAAGAGAAGAGCAAAGTCTGAAGGGGAAAGTGGCCATGTCTCCAAGAAAGTATTCTCTTTTGTGCCACAGTGGTGTGCAGGAGCGTCTCCGCAGGGAGTACCCAGAGATGGAGATTTTTTATGACAGAGCCACCCAACACATGTGCTTTAAAGGACTAGGTATAGATGTGTATAAAGCAAAGTGTGAAGTCCAGGAAAAGGTGTACACCATGGTTCAGAAAAGCATTCAGCTTCCCCCGGAGGTTTTGCAGTTTTTGCAACAGATCGACTGTTCAGAACTCTCCAAGTCTCTTTTGATAGCACAGAAAATTCTTGCAGTTTATGAGCTAGAGGGCACAACTGTTTTCTTAACCGGCTGTTCTTCTGAAGTCCTCTTAGAAGCTGAGAAGCAAATGGTCAGTGCCTTAAGTTATAAGCGCATAGACATTGAGGACAGGGAAGTTCTTAACAGCAAGAAATGGAAAGCCATCACTAACAATTTGCCGAAGAAACATAATTCCTCCTCAAAGACTGTAATGATCAATGAGTTAACTTCAGGAACCACAGCTGAGGTCATTATTGCAGGCTGCGTGAGAGAAGTAAATGACATCTACCACTTCCTTTTTGACTTTGTGGAAAAAAACATGAAAATAGAGAGATTCCTTGAAATAAAGCCTCCATTAGTGATTGATTATTTAAAGGCAGAGGAGAAGATATTCTGGCAAAAGATAAAGATGAACAAGCTAAATGTCCATGTAGATTTCAATGCTAGGAACAAACCAAAAGGCATTTTACTAACTGGCTCAAAGGCCGAAGTCCTGGAGGGAATGAACATCCTCAAACAAGCCAGGGATTCAGTTTGTGTTAAAAGCATCAGTATTGATAAGCCAGGAGCCAGCCAGTCCTTCCGGGATAGACCATGGTATTATAAACGTGAGGTACGGTCATTTGGTTGTTTTGTGGAACTACTGCAGAATGAAGGACAGAAGGAGGGAGGTGGCAGTGATGGGCAGAAGTGCTCCTGTCGGACAGAATTGGCCCCTGGAGTCTCGCTGATTGTACAGCAAGGCGACTTGACACGGTTTCCTGTTGAAGTGGTGGTGAATGCCGCAAATGAGGACCTCCGTCTCAGTGGGGGCCTGGCTGCTGCTCTTTCAAAGGCAGCTGGCCCTGAGCTCCAAGCAGACTGTGACCGGATAGTGAAGGAAAAGGGTAAGATCGCAATTGGCCATGCCACCATCTCAAAACCAGGAAAGCTCCCATACCACCAGGTGATCCATGCAGTAGGACCCAAGTGGAACAGCAGTGATGTTCTGGGGTGTGTGTTACAGTTAAAGAATGCCGTGAAAAAAAGTCTCCATTTGGCTGGTAAATGCCAGTACCAATCCATAGCCATCCCTGCCATTAGTTCTGGAGACGGTGGCTTTCCCTTATCCCAGTGTGTGGAGACCATTGTTTTGGCCATCAAGGAATCCGTCCAGTATAACTGGGCTGGATGCACCTTGAAAGAGGTTTACCTTGTGGATTTAGCTGAGAAGACTGTTGAGGCCTTTGCTGAAACTGTGAAAACTGTATTTAAAAACAACAAGCCTGGTACTGCTTCCCTGCCCAGTGTACCATCAGGAGTCCAGCCGGGCCCGAGAAACAATGATGGAAACAGACAAATGCTGCTGTGCCCAGGAGGTCTGAGGATCCTGTTGGTGAAAGGAGATGTGCAGAATGCTACGGTGAGTGTCCCTTTTACAGAACACCCACTAGGTGCTGCAACTCCAGGGAGTCTGTTGCCAAGGGAATATTAGGATCAAGGGAGAATTAGGGAGAGAATCCCATACTCTCCATGGTGACCTGGAAACAAATTTCCTTAGAAAATTGGGCTACTTCACCACAGCATTTACTAATAGAGGGTGGCCAGTTATCTGTGGGACCTGGAAGTGTATTCAGATCACCAGGTTCCCAGTAAATGTGAAAATCCACAATAATGGCTTACAATTACAAGGCTCTCTATATTTATTCAGGGCCTTCATACCTGTGATATTTTGGCAAATCTGAGGTTAATTTCCTATCAAATTTACTGATAGCAGATATAGAAAAATTAGAAAAATTAGGGTAGAGTGGGGACAGCAGACAGGAATCTTGTCAGTGGAATTGAACCAGGTTGAGCCTGGAGGCCTGAGTCAGAGGGCCAATCAGCACCCAGCACCAGTAAGAAGCTGTGGGAAGGAAAGTGGAAACTGCACCTGGAAGTGGTCTGAGTACTATGTGGGGACAGTTATTGTAGGTGTGCCAGGGGGGTCATGTGTTTTTTTAAAACATATTTAACAACCTCTTCAACACGGGCTCTAGCTAATGGAAATAGCCCTGGAAGCCCCTGCTGTGCCAGATGTTCCTTCCTCCCTTTGAGGATTGTGGGCAGGCCTGGGGAAGAGATTCCTAGGGAAGGCCAATTGCCTATCTTCTTTGGAGAAATACCTATTCAGATCCTTTGTCCACTTTTAAATTGGGTTATCTGTTTAAAAAAATATATTTTTATTGATTACAGAAAGGAAGGGAGAGGGAGAAAGAGATAGAAACATCAATGGTGAGAGAGAATCCTTGATCAGCGTCCTCCTGCAAGCCCTCTACTGAGGATGGAGACTGCAACCCTGGCATGTGCCCTTGACTGGAATCGAAACTGGGACCCCTCAGTCCACAGGCTGACACTCTATCCACTGAGCCAAACCAGCTAGGGCAATTGGGTTATCTTTTTATTACTGAATTTTAAGAGTTCTTTATGTATTTTGGATAGAGGTCCCTTACCAGATTATGATTTGCAAATATTTTTTCCCATTCTGTGGGTCATCTTCCTTATATAATAATCTTAAATGATAATTACAAGAATAATTGCTAACAATGATTACTTAGTATGTGCCAGCCACTATGCTAAGTGCTTGGCTTGCATTTTCTCATTCAATGCCATGAGGTAGATTCCAGGATTATTATTATTCTCAAAGAGATGAAGGAATGAGGCTTAGAGGGGCTAAGTAATTTGCCCAACTCTCACAGCTAACAAATGGTAGAGGCAAGATTGGAATCTGTTCAGGCACTATTCCAAAATATTAGAAAATGATTTTATTTCTCATAAAAAAACCCAAATACATAAACAAGAAACTCTTTTGACCCCTAGTCAGTAATTGGAATGTTCCATTCCTTTTCCATCTTGAACACTAAATAGTAAGAGATTTCTTCCATTCCTTTTTCTCCCATAGATGTTTGAGTTCTGATGCCACAGTACCTGCCATGTGTTGCTTGTCCGTGACCCATGCAGTGCAGAACAGCTTTGAAAATGACTTAGTCACATTCCTTCTCCTCTCTTCTCTTGGTGTCTTACTCTAGCTGATTATTCTGCTCACATTAACTGTCCTGCTGGAAAAGCTTCCATAGCTTCTCACTGTCTGTTGGGAAGTCCAGATGGCCTGGCACTTGAGGTCCTCTGCAGTCCACCCCCACGGTAACATTGCCAGCCTGGCTTGCACCATTTTTCTGTAGAAGCTGTCTATCAGCTCAACAGCTCACACCCACCATGCATGTGTTCCGCCTTCTGAATGATTTCCCCGTCTCCCCATGCCTGCTTCAACTATTCCCAAAGGGCCCACATCACACAGGGTGTACTCAGTGGCCACCGATGGCACTTCCTCTAGACTCCTTCAGTGATCCCACTTGTTGACAGCTCTCTTTTGTCCTGGAGTGTAACTTAAATCAGTATCTAATAACACATTGTCTTGGGTGGTATTTGTCTCTGAAAAAGTCATCTTTAGTTGTCCCCATTGTGCCAAGTCCAATGGCTCAAATACAGTAATCCTTGATGAATGCTTTTTGTTAGAATTTGAAACAAATTGTTGGTTTTGTGTTTAGGCTGATGTTGTTGTCAACTCCATTCCTTGGGAGCTCAACCTTAATAGTGGGCCCCTTTCTAAGGCCCTTTTGGCAAAAGCTGGGCCAAATCTCCAGAAGGAATTGAACGCAGCTGGACAAGGGATAGCTGTTGACGTGGGCACAATTCTTCAAACCACTGGCTGTAATCTGCAATGCTACCAAGTGTTTCATGTGGTGGCTCCGAGCTGGAAAAATGGCGACACATCTTCACACAAGGTGGGGTCTGGTTTTAAATTCTCCGGGAAATTGCGTACTCTATTGTTCTCTTTTCAATAATTGCACCCTGTCTGTTTCTCTTCTGTAATAACATCACATTCATGGCAGGTTCCATCATTATGGCCCTTTCTTTTAGTGTAGCTGACTGCTCCTGAAGACTAGTTATTGAAGATAGGGAAGAGTTATTGAAGATAGCACATCTTTTTAAAAAAATTTATTTCAGAGGGGAAGGGAGAGGGAGAGAGAGATAGAAACATCAATGTTGAGAGAGAATCATTGATCGGCTGCCTCCTGCACGACCTCCTATTGGGGATCGAGCCTGCAATCCAGGCATGTGCCTTGACCAGGAATGGAACCATGACCTCCTGGTTCATAGGTTGATGCTCAACCACTGAGCCACACTGGCCGGGCAAAGATAGCACATCTTTAGTGAGGAAGGTAAGGTGAGGGCATGAAGAATGGAAGAGCATGAAGGATTAGACCAGTAGTTGGTTAGCTTTTTTCCTTCATTGCTAAGTGCATGTGAATCTTTTTGAAGGGTTTCTTACATTCTCTTTTCCTTTTCCTGTATTTTTCTTTCCCCTTCTGACTGACCTTAGCCTGCTTTTTGTTTAAAGCAGAAAGGAGTAGACAAAGATCACAAAGTTGCTAAATTATCTTATTTTTGGTCCTAGCTCCCATTTCTAGGCAAAAAAATGTATAAGAATGTGCTTTGTACTTTTCAGATCATGCAAGACATAATCAGAAAATGTTTGGAAATGACTGAGAACTTGTCCTTAAACTCAATTGCGTTTCCAGCCATAGGAACAGGCATTTTGGGGTTTCCTAAGACTGTTTTTGCTGAATTGATCATTTCGGAAGTGTTCAAATTTAGTAGCAACAATGAACCAACAGCTTTACAAGAGGTTTGCTTTGTGCTTCACCCGAGTGATCACGGAAATATTCAGGTACAGCTTCACTCATTTCTGGTTATTTTGTCAACTGAGCCCTAATGGTATCCAATGTCTTCTTGGTCTAACGGGTTGTTTCTTCCATGTATTTCCCATGCAGGAAAGTAAAAGAGCACTGTAGACTAGTTGAAGCATGGGAATTTTCAAGCAAAGTTATGGATATAGAAAAAATTAGCTTCTTATTTAGGAAAACTTCAAACATGTACAAACATCAACAAAATAGTATAATAAACTTCCTTATAGCCATCACTCACCTTCATAATTATCAGCCTATGGCTAATATGTTTTATCTCTATCTCCTTTATTGCCTTTTTCCCATACTATTTTTAAAATTATTTATTTTTAATGGTCACCTGAGAATGTTTTTATTGATTTCTGGTTTTAGAGAGAGAGGAAGGAAAAGAGAGAGAG